GATAACCCTCTGAGAATACAATATCCCCAGCACCGATTTGCCTGTTCTCTTGGGATGCATTAGCAGCCCTACCACGGACAAGTGTTATCTACTGGATAACAGTGACAGTGATGGCTTTGTGCAGTGCTAGTTCAGATTCGCATACGTTAAATACTTTCTATTGATCTTCAGTTCAGTTCAGTTCTCACAACCATTAATCATGCACTTTCGTGCGCCGGTTTTGGTTGCCCATTTCGATAAAATAGAAGATTAGAATGTTGAGAGCAGATTTAAGCGAAAGGTAGCACATTTTCATACTGAAATTACAAAAATAATGAAATGCATGAGCGCCACTGTTTGCGACACCCAGCCATATCCCTCAGCGTCTCTAGCCACCGGTGACCATGATCTATGGGTCCCGAGCCAGGGAGCTTAACGGGACCTTTGTAAGCCAGTTTTCTGGTCAGGGTTGTCATACCCTCATGCCAGGTCTTAACTTGATCACCCTTGATCTTTTTCCAACCGCTACCTGCCTCGCCAAGCATCGCTCGCCGGAGCAACCAATCTGGTGACATGCGCAGCACATGTCCCAACCAGCGTAATCTGTGGAGGTCGGCTACCTGTTCCAGTGGACAACCGCGATCGCCTAAAACTCTACGCCTAACCTCAGCATTGCTCATCCGGTTTCTCCGCCAGACTCGTGAGATGCGACATAGACAGTTGTGTTCGAACACCGACAGTCTATCTTTATCTTATTCCCGTAATAGCCAAGTCTCTACACCGTAGAGCAGGACTGGCCGAACTGCTGCAGCATACACTCGACCCTTCACAGACAGCCGGATGTCGCGACGGCACCACAGACGTCTCAAGTTGGAAAATGCCAACCGAGCCTTCCGTATGCGCGCCGACACTTTATCTGTGATGCCAGGTGAGATGTAGCTGCCCAGGTAGCAAAACCTATCTACTTTCTACAACTTCTCCGGTCAGGGTTAGGCTGGGTACTGGGCCAACCCAATCTTGGAACAGCATTTTACACTTTGAAGATGCAAAGCGCATGCCGAACATCGCTACACTAGCACTCTAACTATCCAGGAAAGCTTACAACTTACCTAGATTTTCACTTAGCAGCACGATGCCGTCTGCATACTCCAGATCAGACAGTCTGCCACCTGGGAGTAAATCGATGCCACTATCCCCGCACGAGGATAGGACTGTTTTAATAATCAGATCTATAAAAAGTTAAACAGGAATGGAAAGAGAGGGCAACTCTGACGAACACTACTTTCTGTGGTGAACTCGGGCGAAAAAGTGCCGTAAGCCCGGAGTCGACTTCGGCCATTTGTATAAAGCGATCTTAACATTGAAATAAACTTCTCGGGCACACTCTTCAGGGAGAGGCAGCGCCAGAGTTTAGAGCGGTCGATTGAGTCGAAAACCGCTTTCAGATCGAGGACGGAGGGAATTGTGGGTCTACGAAAAGAGCGTCCGTGTTCTAGGATTTGACGAAGAGTGATGTGGTCGATACAACCTCGACCAGGTCTAAAACCAGCCTGGTTCTCACGTGTGCACTTTTCACGAGTGACAGACAATCGACGGAGTATGATCCCGGCGAGAAATTTAGAGGCAATGTTAATTAAACTAATTCCTCTGTTGTTTTCACAAGAGGATCTGTCGCCCTTCATGTAAATTGGTACGATCACCGATTCACATCGTTCAGTTGGAACCCGTTCCTTTTGCCACACTGAACCCAGGAGTTTTGTTAACTCCCAAACCAAGGCTCGACCTCCATCCTTAAAAACCGATGTGGACAGCCCGTCGGGGCCGAAAGCCTTATACCTTTTGAGATAGCTTATTTCTCGGGTAACCTCTATTTCAGATGGAAGACTGATGCCAACTGGCAGTACTTGCACAGTTGAATCGGGTGTAGGGAGGTCTTGTGCTGACGAGGGCCAGCTGAACTGAGCCTTAAAATGTTCAGCCCATCGATCAAGACGGTGTTGCTGACCGTGAATCATTGGCCACTAGATTCCTTAATTGCCTCACTTACACCTGCTTCCTTGGACCTGTACTCCTAATTAATCGGAAAAGATTGCGACTATTACCGATAGCCGCAGCCTTCTTCATCTCCCTACACTTTCCTATCCACCATTTCTCGCGGTCATTCCTCAGACGCTTGATGAGCTGGTGTTTAAGGGATTTGCGCGCTTTGTCGTAGTGTGAATTCGAAGGAATAGCTTTGCGAGCGTCCAGCAGGGTAATCGAAGTTGGGGAGACCCATCGTCTTTTATTTGATAGTGAGTCAGAATTTGCTGTCGCTTCGATTGACATTTTGATCGCTGCCTTGATTGCCGTCCAGTGCTCACTGAGTCCTCCTGCTGATGGTTGTGGTGAGAGACGATCTGATAGTTCCGCTTCGAAGTCCGATTCGCAACCATTGCTGACATTGTATCTTGGATATCCGTTTTCGGTGACTTTTCTGTGTTTGTTTACTAGGCGTAGAGAGAATCTCGCTTGTAGCAGAGCAAGGTCAGTGTCCACGGTTGTTGGCCAGTAGGAGCGGCAGTCTTCAATGGATCCTCGCCAGCGGTGGCTGATGGCAATGTGGTCGATTTGAGTCCAGCGCTGTGAAGCGGTTGGCGGTCTCCATGTAAGACGGTGGCGTTCTTTGTGCGAGACGTTCGTGCTTGACAGAAACATTTCGTGGTCATCATAAAGTTGGAGTAGGCGTTCTCCGTTGTCAGTCCTGTTGGCTGTATTGCATGTGAACCTCCAAGTAGCCTCTCTGATTCGTCCAGGGATCCCACTTGAGCATTGAAGCCTCCAGCGACCACCACGATGTCCGTTGACTGAGCACTTCGGAGCAGTTGAGAGTTCCTTGTAGAATTCATCCTTCACTTCTGGCGAACTGCAATCTGTCGGTGCATAGGCGGATACGACGAATAAACATCGACGCTTCGTTCTGTAGCTGTTGACTCGTACTGAAACATCCAGACGTACTGCGCAAAGTCGGCTGTCAACCGGGATCCAATCCAGAAGTGAACGCTCGACCTTGACACTCAGCGCAATCCCAACACCAGCAAAACCGCAAGCTTCGGATGTCGAATCGTCTGACACACGGAGAGTGAAGCGTGAGGTTGAGGTTGGATCAGGAGAACGCAGAGAGATAATGGAAGTGGGGTCTTGTATGCGTGTTTCAGAGACACAACATACATCTAAATGGAAGGCTTCAAGGGTCCTAGCTAAGGCGGCTTGTTGATAGTGTGCGGACATTTAATGCGGCTAAGTGGAAAGGAGATTTTGGTTTCAAAAATCTGATAGCCTCTGAGTGGTTGCCCTCATTAGTTGAATACCGAATGGTATCCGATGGGTAGCGCAAACAGGATGCATCTCTCAAGGTATGGGGGTGAGAAGAGGAAATAGACAGTTGAGAAAGACGGTTCTCCAAATGGGCACCTAAGACTTGATCTTAGTTACGTCTACGGAGAAATCACCACTTAGGCAAAGACCCACACCCCCATGCAGCACCCCCGAGCATTCATGCATAATCAATTTGCAGTCGATCAAACAAGTGAGTGCTCGTCTCCGACAACCTGCCAACGCAATGAGCAGTTGTAAGCTTCAAGTAGCCTATCACCTTCGCAGGCATATTAGACTGGTTTTCGGTGCTGTATAAAACTCGAAATGTTCCCTTACGTGTCTTTATATGTAAACAATACTAACGGTTGCCGTTTCTTAGTCGAATTGCGCTCCGCGATCACCATCATATTAAAAAATGTCACTGTTGCTCTCAATAACATGTAATCTACCAAACTCATATTTGCTGCGAAAATTATTTCGTGCAGCCACACTCGATCCTTTTATGTCGTATGCAATCATCCTACAGCATGCAAAGTGGCCTCTATGCTACACATCCTGTTTGTTCTGTCAACCTCCTACTTGATAAAGCATGGATCGATCTTCTACATGATTGGTGCATTCACCTACATTTAAAATCTTGTTTTTTTCTAACCTAATGAATTAACAAGAGACGGCCTTTGAGGAAACAACCTGACCTTTAGTTAAGAAGCAGATCATTTTATCTCGATGATCACATATTTACTGCGACTATAGATTACCTGGTTTGAGTTGTTAGTACGTCTCCAGTCCATATTCGCTTTTGCGCGCAAGTACTTTCCCTAGAAATTATCGATTCTACCACCAAAAGATTGAACGAACCATATGGATTCATCATCTTTCTTCCACCAAAATACGAGCAATCCGCTTTCACAATCCAATTTCTCACTCACTTTGCATGAGCTGTACAAGGCTCAGTAAAGTTCGCTCGATTGTATTCATTGTACGATGACAATTGTAATGTGAAATACTTTTGCCTTTCAAGACTATACACTTTTTTGGAAGTACATAACACGCTTTCAATGTGGCATCAATCGCACAGAATTTCTTGTAACCCTCGAATGAGAGAAACAAAACCATTTCTATCAAACAGCTAATTTGAGGGCATTGATTTAGCCTTCCACCCAAACGATGAACCACATAACTTTGTGGCCACGAACCCGCGGAAGGCCTATTTATAAAATATCATTAAAAAGCGGATTACATTAGGAACCAAAAGGAGACGTCTGACACGATTATTCAGCTAAGCAATGCTTTTACTCATCGAATACGTAGGCAAAGGAATGGACTTTACTGTATATATATATATATGAACACTAGACGGCGGCAACGGTGGCTCCAAGTTGCGGTGGCAACATTCGTTTGTCGATTGACTTTGAATGCAAGAAAATTCAACTGTCTCTGTCTGAGCAACCTGGAAATATTCCAGGTGATGCTCAATAAAATTAATAAAACAGGTAAGCGATTGGGTTATCCACTTTTCATGCAAAAAAATCAATTCTACATGATCATGAGCTTCAGTTCACCGATGGTAACAGTCACCAATACAAGTCGTAGCAACTAGATTGTCTAAACAAAATTTACAATCTGTTCATTGTGTAATGAAAACAACAAGCAATGAGTTAGGTTCAGAAGCATTTACATACTTGGTCCGACAATTCTTGTATGCGAATTTCTTGGAATTTCGCGAACTTGGAACCTCGAGTTTGTAAATGGAGTCGTCCACCTCCACCGGCACCAGCATTCTTGCACGCTGCTGTACCACATAATGTCAGAGGCATGAATGTCGGATTTGTAATTTCCTATGAAAATCAAAAGGGATGAGTAAATGGAGCTTTATTATAAGATAAAAATCAACGTATATTCTAGCCACCACTGAGCTAAACGGTTGTGCATCGAAGCTTAGGTGGACGGCCTGAGTCAGATGCAATTCGCTTAGGCCAAAGAGATAGATCACGCACCTTTGCTTGAATACTTAGAGTAGATTTGTTAAAATTTTGTTATTTGGAATGAAATCTCAGATGGACCTCGATAAGCAAAACTAATTCTGGCTTCTGTGATGGCCGGATGATCGTGCGTCTTCTTAACACCCTTGTAAAATTCGTATCCATGAGTTCTCTGCTTCCACCCTGACACTACCTTCAGCATCCAACCCTTGTCTCTATCTCTTCGACAGGGGTAGCCAAAAGAAAACCTAAACCAGATTATTGGTCGCATAAACCGATACATCAAAGTGCCGCTCCTAGCTGTGGGCAACCGTTAATCAGAACCCTAGCTGAGGATTATGTTGAGAAAAGGAAACCCAACATTTCGAATGAATTACAAATGTATCTGGTCGGGATTATCTTGATAAGCGTAAAGGAAATATTAACATAATGCGCACCTGATAAGTTTCTGCGCCGCAGCGATTGCACGTATATGTTGCAATTGAAATTAAAGGTTTGACCTCTGTGGACCTGGTAACGATACCACGAACTTGAATGAGGTGACCAATACTGGAAGCGAGAACGCTGCGGACACTGATGGGCTTTCGGTCAGTTCTTCCGCAAAAGTAAACTTCACTGAAAATATAAGGAATAGACTGTAATTCTTTGACTGCTTACAATCTGCGCAACAGCTCTGGAGGGAAACGGGAACGAATTTCATCGATATCGATGCTTTGAGACCCAGGTTGACCCAAGTTACGATTGACGTCCCCGCTGTCTTCTGCTCGTATTCGCTGTTCCATGCGAATTCTGTGGTCAATAAATATATCCAATACATCTTGAGGAACAAACTGTGGAGGTCAAGGATCAAGAGAGAAAACTTACATCTACGGTTCGGAAATCAGGTAATAACTTGTCCACGCACTCGGCAAATAGCTTTTGATACCGTGCTGCATTCGACTCAACAGCAGAAGCCAATTCTTCAGAAAAATCCGCTACGTCGTCTAGTGCGACATACATAACAGTTTGCTCACGGTTAGCTACATTGGTCTAAAAATCACCGTCGGTTACTTTCGCAGAGACTCACCATCTGTTCGCTATATAAAAAATGTTTATTTCCATTAGAATCGATCTTGTTGAATGTTCGAAGAAACTCCGTGATCAAATCTTTGTCCTCATCATAGTTACGCGGGGCTGATGCTGACATTTCGGAGTTTGAAATTCAAAATTTGTTGATCGGATCCCCGCGCGCGGTGGAAAATTAACCTTCAGTTGACCTTGGACAGTCAGTTCAGTTCAGTTCCAATCCAATCTTCCAGGACGTAGAGGCCTCGGCCTTATGGTTGTCCTGATTCTGGCTC